GCCTGCCCTGCCCAGGCCCCCGGTGCCTTCAGCCACTCCCATCGCCCAGATCTCGGGGACCTCCACGGCCCCTGGTCACCAGCCCTCCCCAGTGTGGCAGCACCGGAGGCACCTCCAGCTGCTCTGAGCCTGCTTAAAAAATCCACGTCCTCGCCCTTTCTGAACCAGACGTGTTAAGCCGTCGATCTGCTCTTTTTTGGGGGGGGAAGCCTGGCGAGCAGGACCCTGAAGGAGGCTCCCAGGAGGTGCCCAGCCAGCGGGTAAGCAGCAGGCGAGGGGGAAGCACAGGGATGCCTGTGCCACACGGCCCCACGCTGGGGTTAGAACCGAGGGCAGCAGCGGGAGCCAAGGATGCCCGTCGGGCTCAGGAGAGCACCCGAAACCGGGGCCTGAGTGTTAATGAGCGCTAAATGAGAAATGCCCTAGCCATGGCACCTCAGCGTGCTGCTGGGGGGTGCCCTGCTGCCCAAAGGCGACGTTAGTCCGTGTAAGGGGTCCGGCGGCAGCTCGGCCCAGGAGGGGGCAAGCGAGCAAGCACGTGCAGTTAGTCCCGTTACCTCATGTGCCTTGGGGTAGGCGCGGGCGGCAGGAGAAGCTAAGGAGGCAGCTGCTGCTGGCAGGGGGCTCAGGGGCTTAGGTCCCTCCAACAGCTCAAAAGGCTCTGAGATATGGAGGGTCTCCTGTTGGAGGGTAAAGATCACGTAGGCGAGGCGGGCACAGGCAGCAAGGTGGCAGCAGCAGGAGCCCCACTGCGGGCAGGCACAAGGGGACACCCTGCCCCTCTCCCCATCAGCGGGGTGGGTGGCACCATGGTCCCTGTGGGCATTGCGGCTCCGGCTCCCCATTCAGAGCCACAAGCAGGGCAATGGGGTGACCCACTCCCACCCAAAAGCCTTTGGACGTGAATTGTAAGGAGTCCCCCATACTGGCACCAAGACAGCCCCACACTTGCTCTCTGGCAAGGACGGGACCCCAGGCAGTGCCTGCCCCCCGTGCTCCACAGCCGTGCCGAGCCCTTCCCTCATGGGCGCTTGCCGAAAGCCTGGGCTGCTCCAGGGCTCCCGCAGTACTGGACCAGCCCGGCAGGGACGATGCTGCGGCTCCCAAGCCCAGCTCTATTTTGTTTTCCCTCCCTCCCTCCCAACCTGGCGATGGTGCCTGCAGCCCACGGAGAGGCTCTGAGCAGCCCGGAGCACCCGGCTCCATCCAGGAGGCGCTTGGGAGCACAGGAGCCACTGCAGAGCGGAGCTTGCAGAGCACCAGGCTGGAGCCTGCTGGTGACAGCGGCTCGGGGCAGCAGGAGAGCAGCCCTGGGGGCCATACCCCCCTTTCCTCACTTACCTCCCTGAGAGCTGAGGACATTTTGGGGAAACTCCTGCCCCCTGTGACGAGCTGGTATCGCCGCTCCAGAGACGCAAGCTTCTCCTTCTCCTGAGCGCAGGGCGGCAGCGAGAGCAAAGGCACACAGACTGTTACCGGCACCCCGTGGCCAGTCCCCCGCAAGCTCACCCCAACTACCAGCACTTTGGCAAGAGCCGGTGCAATCTCATCCCCCGCCTTGGGCACCCCCAGGGTCGGGGAAAGCACGCGCACCCACCAACGGCTGTGTTACCTTCTGCAGGAGCTGCAGGACGCCGCTCCTCTCCCTGGCCAGGCGCTCGGCCTCCTG